TTTTTTTTCTTTTGTCTTAATCACAACTCCCTCGCACCCTCCCTCTCTCCACAGTACATATCCTGGGTCGTAATCTTAATCAGCAGAGACATGGAGGTCGGTTTAGTTACCTTGATTTGCTTTCTTTTTCATTCCGGTAATTGTTTATAAGCTTTTCGGTTCTAACCAAATTAAACAAGCTCTGTTTTTCTTGTAATCAATTTAAGAGAACATCATGTCCCTCGTACCCCGCCATATTCGCTTTTGCTCTTTCCTTTTAGTTCAGAACTTAGCAAGGTAACCTTATCATGTTATATCTGATTGATCTGCTTTTGAAGTGACAAATACGAAGATATGTTGAGGATCTTTCGCAAGTCAAACGTTTTTTTGCTTCAATTCAAGACGTTTTTGACTGCCGATAGACAAATCAAAGGAGCATATGAATTAGGCACTGTAAAATTCGACACGTCGAATTGAAGCCTTCCGGGCTCACATGACTGTGAACTGGTCGATAGCCAGCTTTTGCGCAAGGAATTCTTCGGGGAATGCAGATTATTTACATCGCGGCTTCATTACGGACAGAAAGATAACAAAACCTTACTGTATCGCTGCACTCATTGTTTCTACAATCTCCTGCATGTGAACAACGATGCCGGGGATCTATCGTCCCCGGCAAAGCCTTCGTCACACCTCCGGAAATAAGGGCGCCACATTACAACAACTTACTCCGAGACAGAATGAATTCGAACCGCGGGAACACTTTGTTTTGACGAAAAGGATAAAATTGCTAGGAAATTATTCATTAATTTTGAAACAGAAAAAGTCTCAGCTTTTGAAAAGCTACTATGTGTTACCAGTTTAACTATAGACGCAAGAATCTTAAAACCCCTCACCTGTTCGAGAAATTTCCTTGTTCCGAAAGCTCGTGTAAATGGAGCCGCGGCAGTCGATATGCTTTCTATCAACAAATGTTTTTCTTTACCAAAACCCACAAATGATCAGAAGCGCAACACTTGTTACCAGATCCTTTTTGAAGCGTCAAGAAGCTCCCAGCGTACCAGTTTATTTCTTATAGCGACAATTGCCAAAATGATCGTGATCAAAATTAGAGAGCGTGTTGTTGCTGTTGCGTGCTGATGTCGTCTTGGTGGGAGTTGTTGGGGGTTGGGACATATCGCATTTCCCTTGCACTTTCAAGATAAACCTGTTAAACAGCATTGTAAAGGAAAATAAACAACCTTTGCAGCGATTGGACGGATCAGTTTACACGGCGGTTTAAGTTACGCAACTCATACCCTTATGTGCTAAAATTTCCTTGTGTATTTTCCATTCTTTAGAGGCAATCAAGCGTGGCAATGTTTTGGAAGCCTCGTGTCTGTCCAATCGAAATTCTGCCGACTATTTTTATTAAAACTCAGCAACCTAGGTAAGCTCGTCAAAATATACCAAGTTTGTCAATGGCCTCAGCCAAATAAACAACAAATTACGACATAAAATGGAACCCCTTCCTGCTAGACTCAAACGCTTTCAGATTTCTCATTTTTGTGACGGTGTTATTCGCATTCCTGACGTTTCAAATTTGCCGAACAACTCCCAGCCATCCCGATATAGGCCTACTATTCTATAACAGAAATTCTTTAAGTGTAGAGCTAACTGCATGAGTTATCTTATTTCTATGATTTTGAAACTCTCAATATTGTACCATCCGCATATCCCTGATCATGGATAAAGGTAAATTATATTGACCTCCATTGCCAAACGTTCGATTTATTGTATATTGGTCAGAGCAGCTTTTTTGGATGGGGGGTGGAATTGCCAAAAATCAATGCATCTATCCCGACGAACATTTTGCCCTAGGCAGCACTGAAACAAACTGTCCCAAACAAGTATCGAAGCCACTAGATGCAGTGAAATACTACAGCAAAAACGGAAATGACCAAGCGAAATTCTTGGACACGTAAACTTGTCGGGCATTATCTGCAAGGGAAGTTCAGCAGGTTGTCATGGCAATTACTTTTCAAAGAGTTAATTAACCAAACACAGGCGTTTCTTGAGAGAGCGGGGTAAAGAATGTCTACGTTAGAGAAGTCTTTCTCAGGTGACTGCTAATAAAGCTACTCCTGCGCGATGTCCCGTATTTAACTAAACAATTTGATTGGTTTTCTAAAAAAAAATTCAGCCACTTGATGCAATGAAAGACTAAATAAAAAGCGGAAATGATAAAACAAAATGTCGTGTTATCGGGAGCCCTGATGTTATCTTAGTGAAAGCTTCTTTACTTATTCGGTGGATTTTCAGATTTATAAGTTAAGCATTTCCTCCTTTCCAGTTTTGTAACCATGTCAGTCAGAGCTTGATATCGTCTCTGCCAATATAGAGATGACGTTAACTTTTGTTTACTGTCCAACTATTTGCTTGTTTTTCGCACAGTTCCGGGCATGACAGGTTTTGCCCGGTTATCCCACGCTAATACAGTACTTATTTATTCCCCTGGGTGGGCAAATGGCCGGATGAGTGCCCTGTCCCAGAATGCACCACGAGGAAAATGATGCAGGCTTCGATCACGCAACTTCTTAAACATTAATTGCCGGTTGATGCAGTGAGCCAAAGATTTGACAGTTGTTGGCAAGGAAAGATATTTAATTAATTACGGAGTATTCCACTCCGCTCGGAGTTTTTTCATTCAACTCGGCAGCTTGTCCATAAACCACGTCTTCTCTTTTAATCCAATTGTTCTTTCCCAGTTGTACATGTAAATTGACTAATGCGCTTATTCGCCCGACCAAATACTGCAACTTGTTGCCCTGATTAAACGACAAAACCACTGATTAGTCTGGCGAGTTATTTTAACCTCATGAAGTGTTATTTTCTTTTGACTCTGGGCCATTAGGGATTTCGTCTCGTTGTTCCGTCTCCTTGTTGCGTGTATTTGTTTACGCATCGTTTGCCGAGTGTGGTTAACCTAGGTATTCCGTGTTCTTAAGCTCTGGATGGGAGTCTATCAAAAGGTCAAATAACCAAGTAGGGGACGAGGAAGTGCAGCCTTAATTTATTATTATTATGGTGAAATTGTTTAAGTAAGTACTATATCGTGTAGTCAAGGAATTAACAAATGTCTGATTGATTAAATTATATTCGTCGCTGTTTTGAACCCTTTAAACTCTGCCAATGAGATTGCAGCGTAATATTTAGGAACGGTAGAGCATTACGAAAATGCCGCAAGTCTTGTTATGAACATAGGGAGCTGGGATGCTATCGGTTTTATTTTTATTTCAGGTTATGACGAAAAAGCTTTTCCGGATTAGAGAGCTTATGGATTATGGTTCTCAAAAATTGGAGATCCGGTCAAATACCGGCAAATATTTCATTAACATTAGTAAATAAATGCAGTATTCTTGCTAGCAAGGGAAGCCTTCACTTCTAGGCGCAAAAATATACATTTTCGCAGTCGATAAATATATAGCAAGCTACAGTCCAATTTCTTATTAATGGTCTAAAAGGTGCAATTTAAAAAACAAATCAAATGAAAAAAAAAAAAGGTTTTGTTTTTTTCAACAAGATTAGTGATTTTTTTTTCCCTGTACACTGTACACCTATAAACCTGTGCACCTTCTACTAAATAAATCGAAGCCAAAACAAAATTGCTGAATTCAGTAACTCTTTTCGCTTTCCTCGTCCTCCCCTCCCCTCCCCCTCAACTTTCCCACGCCCTTTTTCGTCTGAAACGCTAGCATAAATTCCTGTGTCTGATATCCTATCCACCGAGGTTCTGCGCATGCTCGGTCAACGGGTAAAGGTTAACATAAGCAAGCATGAGAACGGTTTGCTCGATTTGTGAATCAAATTTTAAGTTTCAAAATATATCAATTATCCTCGATGACACCTTAACTACTGACCTACAGCGGCATGAAGACGTCAAAAAATTTTGAGAATCCCCCACACCCCCCTGACCGACGCATTGTTCCTGTGAGGTAAGACTGTCCCAACTTCAAGAGATCTGCTATGGCTAATTATCAGAGTCTATCATAATATTTGTTTCTAGCCGGGAAGGGGGTGGAATATATTTCTGTTCGTTAGAAAATCTCTCGAATCGAAGAAATTTAGCGTCTAGTACTTTTTGATCGATGCATGCGCCTCAAAGTGACATTCTTTATTCCTTCTTCCCCTGCAGTTGATTTTCCCGAAACTGTAGAGTCAGGCAGTGTGCACGACAGATGCTGCTGTTACGTTTATATAACGTGGAATTTTTTTTAACTTCAAAAAAAAAAAAAAATGCCCATTGACCAAAAAACCGCAGAAATTCCGACACCGGAAATTGAAAAGAAAATAACTGTATTTTGACTGCCTCTCGACAATGCTTATCAGTCTCAGGCTAATTTCGGATTAATCAGGGAATCTTTAAAAAGCAACGCGACAACATTAAAATTGGGTGTGTTGCAAATTAGCCTTCAGTTTCGGCCGGTCTTGTCACAAAATCCGCCATATAATACATAGCGGCAGTTTTTAGTCTGTGTGAGATGCATCGGTGTATTCTGAGCAAGCGCCTGAAAGTGACATTCTTCATTCCTTCTTACTCTACTGCTGATTTTCTCAAAACTGTAGTGTCAGGGAGTGCGCATGGCAGATTTCGCTCTTAAGCCAATTTAGATAAGGTGGAATTTTTTTGAACTTAAACAAATGCCCATTTAGCAAAAAACCACAGAAATTCCGGCACAGGAAATCGAGAAGAAAATAACTGTATTTTGACTGCCTTTCGACAATGCTTATCAATGCTTATCAGTCTCAGGCTAAAGCAACGGCGACAACATTAAAATTGGGCGCGTTGCAAATTAGCCTTCAGTTCAGCCGGTCTTGTCACAAAATCCTCGATATAGTGCATACCGGCAGTGTAAGCTGTCTGAGATCCAAGTTATTGTAAATCAGATTTCGGTTAAGTCCGAAAATTGAACAAACTTTTGTTTTTCCGAAATTGTGAATTGTAAATTTTCTGCTATTTCCCTAGTTCGGGGCCACCTTGGAAGTTTCATATATAATTCCGCCCTCTCTTCTCTCGTCTCCCGCAAAGTTCCCAGACGGTAGCTTAGAATTGGTCCAAATTTGAACTGTCAGCTGAGAAATGACCCGGGCTTTTTTATGACGGTAGCTAAGAGCTACAAAGTTTCCTAATAACCGAGACTGAAACAGGCTGAAATTTGAATTGATAGACGAGACATCGCCGAACATATTTCACTGATAACAGAGATGCCCACCCCAGTCACACCCAATGCAAGCCCCCCCAATTTATCACCTCTGCCCTCGCTATAACCATATTAAGGATCGAAATACAAAACAACAACCCGTTAGAATAATCTCAGCGCCAAAACAAAAAAAGAAAAAGAAAAAAATGCAGAAAAAAAAAAGATTGAAAACAAACAGAACCGTGTGGCTTCTGTACCATGGAAAGCTGTTCATTAGATGGACATTTTACTTGTAGAAAGTGTCCGTGAATTTGTCGCGAAACGTAACAGACCTCCTACACAGTCTTGGTTTTACTATTTGCAAAACTAATTGTGTAATAATCAGGCATAATCATTAATTATAGAATAATGGGATTATAAGATTAGGCGAATTTCTGACCGAATACCTTCATAAAGTACTATTTCATTCAGAAAGTGAGAAGGGATTTTCGACACATGATTTGAAATTAGCTGGGAATTCAATAAAGTTTGTTATCTTACATTTGATCTCGCGCTTAACTTCATTGAACTTGATCGCTTCTGGTCACAGTTTCGCTTCGAAACATTCAGTCGCCCTGGTATACAGACCTATAAGCCTGTAAACCTGAGCTTATTTGACTTGCACTGGAAACAAAATTAATTTTTACTAAGCAGTTATTTCGGATCTTCACGCGAACCAGTATCGTTTACGGAAAGAGACGTTTTTAGTCGACCTGCGCGAGGTTAAAAAAAAAAAAAAAAAAAAAAAAAAANAATTCTCGGATAGGGCTTCAGCGAGAGCAGTCTCCCCATCTGTGCCAAAAGCTATTTTTTTATTTATTTTTTATTTTTTTCTTTAATTTATTTTTTTATTTTTTTTAATAAAAAGACAGTCACGCGCCTTACGCACGCCCTCATTTAACTCACAAAGTAACCAGCCCTCCACAAGTTTGGTCGCTTTTTTACGCACCCTTACTTCCTTTAGATAAAGTTGTAACGTTCCCATCATCCGAATGCGATTTCAAAATTAAAAAGAATTGAATAAAACAATTATTCCACTCGCCCTTGTGGATACGAGATGGTTATATCAAACTCGGCACTACGCTCCTCCTTTGCTATTTATCTGACCTTCAGTATCCAACGCTAGCTCGTGGAATATTTGTTATTTGACAGCTCTATGTCTCTCTGAAGATTAAGAGAAAATCTTATTTAAGAAGTATTTTTGGCAACCAAGTCAATAGGAAAATTGAACCAAGCTTGAACTCATTCGCGGCAATGCTGGCACAAACATTCAAGATCTACTTGGTCGAGTTTTCTTCAGAATTTGGCGACAAGTCAGTAGGCGTTGCTCCTGTCCATCGGACACGGCAGTTACATAAAGCGCGTCAAGAGATTTGAAATTCTGGAACTTATAGTGCCATTTTGAGTGACTAGCAATAACATCTGTATCACATGTAAAACATTTAACATTAGTCACGTTGTTCTTTCTGTATGTATTGTGGTTTGTTATTAAGCTGCCTATAAAACTGACCCGCGCGGTGTAGGGCTTCTTTTCGAGTTTAGAATTGCAAAGCACAATCAAACCTAACCTTAAAAATGTCAGCAATATTATTATGCACAATTACCTTGGGTAACTTTGGATGGAAGTACTTCCTTTGAAAAGCTGCAAAGTCGCGTGCTATTAATAACAAGTAGTTCCTTTCGATCAAGAACAATGTTTAGTCACGTGCCAGGGAAGTAATGGAGAAGCATGTTAAACACGACAGATCCACTTGAGTGAGATTAATTGGAAAGCGAAGGCGGTATTTGTATAAGATAAAGCAGATAATGGGAGTTTTGAGGGTCAACTAGAAAATTACAAATTTTTCATGAGAAATCGCAGGAACGGCTGCATAAAGAGCGTGGGTTGGAGGGTCAGTCTATAATAAGCTCCGCGGAGCTTTTCAAATAACCGCTGAAAAAAAACCTAAGATTCTGACTTTGTGGGCGTGCTAATGGTGTAAAATAGTTGGATTGCATAACCACTGAACTGAAATCATCAATCTACACTGCTTTGATTTCTTTATTATTTTTTCTTTTGAAAAAATGTTAAACTTGAGTCAATGGTACGTCAAGTGTTCAGTTTTGTGTCACTATTGCAATTAACTTACGCACATGTAACTATTCAGAAACCTGATTAAAGGGCAACTCAAACCCTCTTGGACTGAGATGTGAATCAGTGTATCAGCCAGGGTCCTTTGCGATGGTCAGCATCGGAAAAACATTATGCACTTTGCCAATATAAACTTAAGTCGTTTCATAAAAAACAAACAAGGCTAAAGGATGCCAAATGATAACATTTTTGTGGCTTTTTATAAATTTTCCTTCAACCTCTTCTTTACCGAGTTTAACGTTAATTTTATTATTGATAGGGAAATCATGAGGCTTAAGATCAAGCACACTCGCTCCAGGTCGACGCAGTTGCCTTTTACGACGTAGAGCTTTGGAAACAACTCAACAATTTCTTGTTGCTTGCTTAGCAAAGCGCTGTGGTTTTCTTTCTCTTTCCGGCGGGGGCGGACAGGGGGCGGGACCCAGGAGTGACGCGGGGCGGGGTCTCTATGGGAGGCATTTAAATACAGTAATTGCGTGGTGTGTTTGTTGTTTTGCAGTTTGATACTATTAATGTCGTCTTAAACTTCAAGGAGGTGATAATGATAGCGTGATGACATAAGGAGGGCACAAAAGGAAAATGCCGAGGAAGACCGGGGGCTGGAACGTTGTAGTGCGAGTAATGGGGGCTGGGACGGGAGTAGAGCGTACGAGGACTCTACGAGAGGCGGGAAAAGGGACGATGGGATGTAGAATTCTCAAAATGGCAGTAAAAGAAATGGCGGAATGTGGGATTCTCAAAGGTGGGAAAAGAGATGGCTGGATATTGTAATGATAGTTTTGAAATAATAGTTTTGAATAGCTTTAATCAGTATTTAATTTGTGATTTTACCTGATGAATTGTGATATCAGCGCTGTTTAGTTGTTAGGTTTTCATTAGTTATTAGGTGGAATACCTGTAAACTAGCCCTCAAGCTAAGCGTATATCCACTTTAAATAAAGCACTCATTCAAGCATTCATTCATGCGGCGGACGTGGGAGAAAATGGGAGGGATTTTTGCAGTATTCCTTAAGTGATTTTACGAAAGCAAAAAGTACCCAGAGGCGCTAAGAAAGGGGGCAGGAACTGGGTTAACGGGTGCGGGTGCAAGCAGTTCTCAATTTTTTATATGGTTTATATATTTTCTGTTTTGTTTATTGAATTGTGTTCATGCATTTATTCCATTATTCGTTTTTCTATGTAGTCTGACAAGTATATTTTAACCCTTAAAGTACAAATTTAGAGGTAAATAGTATTAGTTAACAGTTGCTAAGTTATCACAGTCAAACCTTGATAATACGGACACCAAGTAGACATGTCACAGAGTACTTATTAACATGGCTCTCAGGAAAAGCGTCACGGACACATGTCACGGTATCGATACAGACAAATGACTTTTCTTAAAATTTTTAGAAGCTCTCACGAGGGAATGTCCACTATTGAGAGGCCCTGCGCCTAAGAAACGACCGATGATTTCCGACTAAAAAA